GCCCGTCAGAGAGCCGGTGGTCGCCATGGCGATGCGGGAGCTGGTGGAGGGCGAATGCGGAGGGGCCAACCCCCTGATGAAGCTGGCCGGTCACTTCACCCAGGACAAGGCCCTTCGGCAGGAGGGACTGCGGACTGGGCCCTGGCCCCCGGGAGCCCCTGCCTCTGAGACCGTGAGTGCCCGAGGTGGCCGGGACGGGGCCCAGGTGCGCATTTGCGGTGACCGCTCTATGGTGTTGTGGGCCGTAGTGGTTGCCTCCTGATAACACTGCTGAGCACGGCGCATCTTTACATCGAAGAAAGGCCTTATTTTATAGAGGAAGAAATTGAGGCTCAGGGAAGGAAGGTTGGTGACTTGCCTAAGGTCAGGCAGATGGTACAGCTGGCCCATGTGTGACTTGTGTGCCTGTGGTCTCATCACTCCGTATTTTTTTTTTTTTTTTAAGGTCTCCAAGCCTTTGGGAGTAGCTTCGGAAAATGAGGTACATATCACACTCTCTGTTCTGTCCCATTTTTCTCTTGCTCATTGTGATTTTTTTTTTTAACCATTAAACTTAGTTTACTAGTATTTCAGTTTTTGGGTTCTTCCGACCAAATGAGCTTTGCTTGCTGGTATTAAAAAAAAATTCTCAGTGTTTATAAATCTGTGGAAAGAAAAATCTGTATTTCCTTGTTTCTCCAGTTTTTATTTCCCTTTCCTTGTATCTGACAGCCATATTCCCGACCCTGTTTCTTTTGGGGGGCTCCTGACCTTGAGGGTTTCTTTCTCTCTCTCTTTTGTTACCGGAGATTGAACTCAGGATTTTGCACTGCGAGGCAGGCTCAGTGCCACTGAGCTACGTCTCCAGCCCCACCATCTCTTTTGACAGTTGGTGGCTGAATTCCTGCAGGATCAGAATGTACCACTCGTGTCCCGTGCCCCTCAGACCTTTAAGATGGATGATCTCCTGGCGGAGATGCAGGAGATTGAACAGTCCAGCCTCCGCCAGGCTCCCCAGAGAGGTGGGTCCAGAGTCTGTGGAGAAGCGAGGTCACTGTTTTCTGAGCAAGCAGGGCCCACAGGGTTCCATATTTGGTGTCTGCCAGGATCTGGGAACTGAGATTGGAGGAGACAGAAGGGACAGTGTTTTCATGTGCCCTTAGAGTTCCTAGGCACGATGGATTGCTGTGTATGTATTTTGTTTTTTCTTAGCCTTCTCTGTCTCTTTTAAGCCCCTGGTGTGGCAGACTTGGCCTTGTCTGAGAACTGGGCCCAGGAGTTTCTTGCAGCTGGAGATGCTGTGGATGTGACTCAGGATTATAACGAGACTGACTGGTCCCAGGAATTCATCGCTGAAGTTACAGGTGAGCCTTGGCATTTTTGTAGGGCATTGGACTTGACTTTGATAATAGGGAATTGAATAGAAACGTACATTAAACAGAGGACTGGCTTTCAACTGGTAACAGATTTTGGATAGAGAACGAGGAGCTAGGTCTATCTCTTTATGGTCAGGAACTTCATTACTATGGTTTAGTAGACAGGAGCCAGAGATTGAATGAGTGGCAGAGCTACCCAGGAAGAGAACTGTTCGCTACAGCACCTGGGATTCTGGTAGTAGGTCATCCTCAGCAGAACTGGGGCCTTGGCAGGTGATTGTGGAGCCCAAAGGCACTCTGCACCTGTGTCTGTGTGTTCCTCATCTGTGGACTCAACCAACTGTGGACTGAAAATATTTGGGAAAAATTTGAGTCTGTGCTAAACGTGTATAGACCTTTTTTCTTCTTCCCTGAGCAGTGTGATAGCTGTTTATGTAGTATTTACATTGTATTAGATGTTGTAAGTGGTCTAGAGATGATTTAAAGTATTAACGAGGATATGTGGCTACATGCAGATAACTCTTCTGTGAGACTTGAGGATCTGTAGATTTTGGTGTCTGGGGTGAGGGGTTGTGGGACCACTCCCTCAGGGATACCAAGGGTTTACTGTGGTTTTGCAGGAGGGCAAGAGCCGTATTATGATGACAAGAATGGCTAATAGGCAATGTTTGCACACCACACTGTCTTCTAGTCTTTGTGCTTAGTGCTTTGAAATGCATTGTCTATTTAATCCCTGTGACAGCCCTAGAGATATTTACTGTTTTTTCCTCTTAGTTTATAGATGAGTATGCTGAGTTTTAGAGGCAAAACAATTTAGCTCGAGGTGACTCAGGTTTGTAAGTGGTGATTGGAATTTGATTCTGTGTTCGAATGGTTTTAGACCTTGTAGATTCAACTGTTAGGCTGTTCTGCTAGGCCTGCTTGTGCTCTTCTTTCTTAGTACAGACTGCAGGGCCTCACCCTGATTTTCTCTCTCTGAGAATGTTCATTGCTCACTGCACTCCTTGGGATTGACTCTTTTTCTATGAAGCCTGTCTGATAAGGAGCAAGATGGTGGGGAAGCTCTTATCTTCAGCTTTTGTCTTTCTGATTGCTGACAAAAAGAAGCATTGCCCACTGAGAAATCATGAATATAGTAATAAGGTGCAGGAGAAAGTTACAGAGTGTACCAGCGATGGTGAAACTTTTAGAGACCAGAGTGTCCATACTGTAACCCCAAATCCACTTATTTATCACACAATGCCAGCACTGCCATTAAACCTGAATACTGAGGTTTTAGTTAGAAAAAGCAATTCATACATTAACATCTTTTGTCTTAAAAACAAGTAACACACGTGCCATGGGTTCACCACCATTGTTCTAGACTCTGAAGGAAGCCATATCATCATCCTTCCTTTAATTCTCCTAAAGGTTGGCCTTCCTCAACAAGAGAAAAAAATACCCATAAAATCTAAGTGGTAAACTTGCCTTTAATTAAAATCTGTTGGTCTTTTTAAAATCGAGACATTTTCCCAACCATAGCTGGAGTTAAGGTAGAATAACAGGTGCTCTTGTGTTCATTGATAGTGCTAAATACTGCAGATTCTTAAACTCATTTGATCATCACCCGACACGTAGCAGGTGGATGTATTATTACTGTTGTTTAATCCAGGGAATGGCTTACTACGTGTTCCTCCACCAAGCCACATCATGCCCAGTCCCTATAATAGAAAATGCTAACATCTTGTGGATAAAGAAACTGAGATTTGGAAAGATTTTCCCAAAGTATTCAATAACAGATGATATTAAAATGCATGCTTTTTTGGTTCTGTGGTCCACACTTTAGATAACCATCACAGCAAACTCGAGAATCTTCCCTGTTGAATTGCTTCAGGTTAAAATCTGAGCTGTAGCAAAGATGTGCTGCCAGACAAAATTTCAGTAAGTGCTATTCAGTGTAAAGTTTTGTTGTAAGGTGTGGTCACAAGTCATTTTTAGTAACTCAGAAAATAACAAGTTGGTGCTACTATGAGCCTTGAAGATGGATGAGATTTTTGTTAGAATTTTCTGAATGGCTTATGACCCGTGAAATCTTCCTTAACTTGTAAACAACTTTCGAAAACATGCTGGACCCGTCTTACCTGTTGACTTTTCCTTGTAGAGCTCTTCTTCCATCTGTACATTCTTCAGGAACTGTGTCTGCTCCAGAGGCAGGGATGTGGGCACAGGGAGGGCAAGTTGAGCTGTGTGAAAGCTGCCCTCCTGTGTGTCCTGTTGCAGCAGTATATTGCTTTGCACATAGTAGGACTTTAGAAATGAATGAATGAATGGAAATCTGAGAGAAAAAGTGATAGGAAATTGATTTTCTTGTAATTCATTTCGTTTTTAAAAAATCTTTCTCATAGCACTTGTGGTCGATGTGTCAATGATATCGTTAACTGTTGAACCTATGGATAAGTAGATTTTGAGAAAAGATGTTACACTTTAAAAAAATCTTATTATTTTATTTTATTTGAGACAGTGTCTCACTATGCAGTCCAGGCTGGCCTTGAACTTGCAGTGTAGTATGGGCTGAACTCTTAGTTCACAGTCTCCCTGCTTCAGCCTACTGAATGCTGGCATTACAGATGTGCACCACCATACCAAGCTTAATTCTTATTATGAGAAAATCCTACGACTGAGATTCTAGACTCAAGTTTAAGAGGAACCTGAAAGCTCAGTGTTCTTTATTTTAGCTTTTTTTTTGGTTTTTTGAGACAGGGTCTCACTATGTAGTTGAGACTGACCTGGAACTCACTATGTAGCCCAGGCTGGTCTCGAACTCAGCAATCTTCCTGCCTCAGCCTCCTGAGTGCTGGGATTACAGGCAGGCACCACCACGCCCGGCTATTTTAGCTTTTTATATGGGAATAACTATAGTTTCACAGGACAGTGCAAACAAAACAAAAATAGTATATAGGAAAGTTCTGTGTACGCGTTACCACTTTTCACTGATGGGGACATTTTGGATAAGTCTTGGTTATGTTAAATATAAAAATCAGTAACTTCTTGCAGCCCACAGAGCTTATTAGATCTCACTGTTTTTATATGTCTCTGTGTGTGTGTTTGTGCGCATGGGTATAATAGTTTTATGTATCATATTTTAGATTTGCCTAAGCACCATTAAAACCAAGATACAGAATTCTTCCATCACCATAAGCACAGTTTTTAGTCTACCATATTTCCCGATAGAATCTGACCTATCCCAGATCTTCTGGCCAGATAATTCTGTGTCTTATTGTTTGCTCAGATCGGAAGGTAAGACACATCTTTTAGTGTTCTTGACTTTGGACAGCCTCAGGTGGCTTGGTTCTTGAGGCTCTTAGGATAATTGTGAGATGTAAGCCTGCTCTTGCAGAGGAAATGCACTGGACTGCAGTAGCAGAACAGACCTCTCCTGGATGGTGGAAGAGGCTATGGAATAAAAGGAATAATAATCTCATTGTGATGTTTTCTTTTTTTTGTGTGGGTTTGTCATGGAAGGAATTGGCAAGTGACAGAGAGGCCGCAGAATGGAAGTAAAATAACAAGTTTTCTCCATCGATGGGGATCGATCACATGTAATGGCATTGCCCTGATGGATCCAGTACTGGGCTGTAACTCCCCCTTTTATAGGGTTTTATAGCCTTGATCTCCTTCAGGTGGTTACATTTCATTCTCGTAGTTCACATTGCTGATATTCAAAACATGGTGGCCGGAGGCAGTTGAATTTCAACCCCATTGGAGCACTTCTTTGGTAGGGCAGGTTACTTTTAAAATTCTTTTAGTTATTTATTCAAGCCCAGGGGAAGGAGGTGTGTCTGGCTCTCAAAGCTAACAATGGTTCTTTTCATTTACAAAACGTTTGAGGTAGACTAGATGCCTCCAGTGAACTCAATAGAGCACAGGGCAGAAGTTATCTTACTTTGTGACGTTTTGTAGGGTTTTTGCTGTTAAAGTGCTCTCTATCAATCAGTTTTGTCACTAGTAGGTAGGAATGATAGTTGCTAACATTTGTTACCATGTGTTTTGGTTTTCATAGAAACCTCTATGAGATATCTATTATTACCTGTATTTTGTAGATGAGGAATAGAAGTGTAGAGTGTTGACTTTTCTGTGGATACCCAGTAAATGGTCTAGTTGGGATTTGAATGTGGGGTAGGTGACTCCAGAAAACCCTAAGTGCTATTAAGCAAACACAAACTTTCACTGATAAGAGTAGGAAGCTCTGCATTTCTGATTTTGAGCTTGACCTAGGTGGAGTAAATCTGTGATGAGAGACTGTGTGAGGTAAACATTACAAGTTGGATCTAGGTCATTGGTTCTAAGTCTTACTAACCTTTGTGTTGCAGGACAGGTCCTTCTCTTCCTTGGCCTTAGTTTCCAAATTTCAGACGTGTGCAAATGGATCTGATTTTCTGTGAGGATTGCTCAGAGATACTTGGAAGGCCAGGTGTTTCCATTTGACTCTTTGGTTGCAGAGCAGATTCCTCGTGCCAGAAAATTGTGTGTGTTTTGGGTAATAAATACGGCCAAATGCCAAGTTACAGTAATTTGAGGATGACATTTCTCCTTTGTGGGATTTTTTTCCCCACGTGCCTTGTGTCTGTTGTAAAGTCTAGGTGCTTTCTAGTTTTTCTGTTGCTTCCTGTCATTGTGAGGAGCGTTTGACAGAAATATTCCTGGGAATTTGGGGAGTGTCTGTTCTGATCTGAGGAGTCTGTGTGGCCAGAACATGCTTTTGTGAAACACTGGAGAGAAGGGAGGGAATGGAGGGGGTAAGGAGCAAGGATTGCTTTTCCCCAGAGTGGGACTGGGGACCTGGGAGGTGTGTGTAGGGGTTAGTATCTCCCTTCCAGTCTCCATGCTTGAGCCAGCAGTCTAGTTGGAGCAAAAGAAAGAGAAATGTTGTCTATAGTAAGAAATGAGCAGAGTCGGGGTCCTTGGAATTAGGAAATGGGATCCATGACCAAAGATAAACTGTAAATTGTATTTTTAATTATAGGATGCATGTTATTTACTTATGTATCCTGAGACCCTCGACCCTTTGTTTTTCAGATTTTGACATTGCTTTCTTGGGTTTTGAGGTCTTTGCTGATATTCAGCCAAATTTTCAGTTAAAGTGGAAGGGAAAGTTTTATTGTACATTGATACTGAGGTAATAAGTCTGCCTTCTCAAGAGTTAAACTCAGTGACACATCTTCAGGTTGGGAACAGAGCCTGATGGCTATCAGTGTCTGACTTGTAAGGCTGTGGTTGTTCTTTCACTCTGTAGGAACCCTGCTTTTTTTTTTTTGGTACTGGGGATCGAACCCGGGTCCTTGTGCTTGTGAGGCAGGCAGCAGAACCACTGAGCTAAATCCCCAGCCTGCTTCTTTTTTGTTTGTTTGTTTTTTGTTTGTTTTCTTCTGCCTCTGGACAGTAGGACAAAGTCCTGGAGGTTGAAAAAGAGTTCAGCACACTCAGTTACTATGTGCCTTGATAATATTTATTCTGATGTTACAGCACTGCACTTTGCCACTACACCTTCTAGCATAGTTTTGGCAGGTAGAACTAAAAACATGGCCTCCTAAAGTGAGTCCAAATCTGGTACCCAGTCTGGGTGTTGGTGTCAAGAGTGCTGGTGCAGTCAACCAGGAGTCAGTTGAGCTCTGTGCTGGTTTGGCACATGTTCTGTACCTTCATGTTTGTATGCTTTGTCTTGATTAAAATATGAAAAGAACCCAGTGGGAAGAGCAGACCTGTGTGTCTGCCATTCTAGCCTAGCAATCCGTGTCTCGGGGGAGCCCATGTCTCGGGGGAGCGGTGGGCATATTCTGACGGATGGAGGCTCAGTACGGGTGGTGCAGCTGTGAGCAGAGAGTAGGCTATGGGTACTGATGAAGCTGGGAACCCCGGTGTCTGGTTTCTCTCTGAGGTTTGTGTATTTGGAGAGTTTGGTTCTTAATCTTTCCAGAGCCACCAAATTGGATCTCCTGTTACATAATCCCCATGCCAAGCCTCCTGGGAGTGAGTTGGCCATTGGAGAGGACACTGAAGATTTAGTAGAATTTTCTTTTGACCAGGGGTCTCTGTGGGAGTAACAGTGTGGTGGGCTTCGGCTTGATTAAGAGGGTCTGTTGAGAATGGATATTACCTTCCCTGTTCCTGACTTCCCACCTGCATGCCTTGCAGACCCCTTGTCTGTGTCGCCGGCCCGCTGGGCTGAGGAGTATCTGGAGCAGTCTGAGGAGAAGCTGTGGCTGGGAGAGCCTGAGGGAGCAGCCACTGCCGATCGCTGGTGGGTCACTGTGCAAGGGGTGGGGTATCACAGCATTCCCGGCCTCCTCCAACTCGTGTCCCTTCTTTTTCACTTAATTATTAACATTTCCACTTGCATTGTTACTCCTATGAATTTATATTTCAGTTACAGGTAAGAGTCCCAATTACTACACCAGAACTTCTTAGCTTTATGTTCCCAGTCCCCTTTTAGTTTTTAGCTCACTGCTGTCTAGTCCTCCTCTCCACATAGCTGTGTCTGGGAAAGTGACAGGTTAAAAAAAAAAAGTGTTGCTAGTACAGTGCTTTCCCACTCCTGCCAAAATGTCCTTCTGGAATGTAAATTGGAGTTCGTGGGTCCTCAGTAAGAGAGATTTCTGTTACTCTTGCCAGGTTGCGGGAAATAGCTTGGGGTAGGTGTGGGCGGACTGAGTTGTGCGATTAGGTTTCCTTACCTGTCCAGGTATGATGAATATCACCCTGAGGAGGATCTGCAGCACACGGCCAGCGACTTTGTGGCCAAGGTTGATGACCCTAAACTGGCTAACTCTGAGGTGAGCGGCGCCCACTCTTTCTGTGCTCAGCAGAGCTGCTCTTAGGTGAGAGTTTGCTCCTCTTACCTGACTTTAAAAAGGAGACGGGATCGTAGGGCTGTTCTTTCTTTCTAGAGAGAGAGATTTAGAGTTCTGGTTCTTCCAATATTCTTTCCCTTATTCCTTGCCAACTAACCCTTTCTCTCTGCTGCCTCTGAAATCTCTAGAGGCAGAAACCCTTGTCTTGTTGCTGTCTGATTTTTTTCAGGGCCTTTAGCACATCTTATTTTCAGGTAGAGGTGGCCAGGGAGAGGCGAGTGCAGGGTCCTCTTGGGTGTGGTTGAGTGCACACCTGGAAGTCCTCCCAAGGTGCCTATGTGTGTCTCTGTGCCCCAGTTCCTGAAATTCGTGCGGCAGATTGGCGAGGGCCAGGTGTCCCTGGAGTCCGTTGCAGGGTCGGGCCGAGCTCAGGCAGAACAGTGGGCAGCAGAGTTTATACAGCAGCAGGTAGGACATTGCCGCTTCCCAGCCTGTTTTAGCCAGCTGGTGCCCTGGACCTGGGCCTCAGTGTTCTGTGGTTCCAGACGGGAAAGGGATTTATCATCAGCTCATCTTGGTAGCATCCAGGTCCTGAGTGGGTGGGAGAGAGAATCTGAGAATACTCTCAGGGTTCAGGCTGGTGGTGTTCAGTGGGTCTTTAGTCTGTGCTAGTGGAAGAAGCTTGGTGGAGGTGGAACTGACCTTCTGTCTGTGTCACAGGGTACTTCAGACGCCTGGGTCGACCAGTTCACAAGGCCAGTAAACAAATCTGCCCTTGACATGGAGTTTGAGCGAGCCAAATCCGCGATAGAGGTGAGAGCAGAGTGAGCCAGCACTCCCTTGGGGAGAGTGGTGCATTAACGTGGGAGGTGGTGAACACTTTCTTCATGGCCTTGAGCCTCTGTGTCAGAATTATGAGGGGTCCTGCGGTGCTTGCAAAATGCAGTCTCCAGGCATCACTCCCGACTACTGCTTGAGAATCAAGGGTAGGATCTAGGAATCTGCATTTGAAAAAGTTCTTCACTGGGTTTCTGAACACCCTGAAATTGAAGAGCTAGTGCCCAGGGCATGCATCCCTGAGGCTGGAGGGCAGCACTGGGTGGTCCTGACGGCGCTCCTCTCTCTATGTGCTCCTCTCTCTATGTGCCTTCCCTTCCTTACAGTCTGATGTCGATTTCTGGGACAAGTTGCAGGCAGAGTTGGAGGAGATGGCAAAGCGGGACGCTGAGGCTCACCCCTGGCTCTCTGACTACGATGACCTTGCATCTGCTTCCTATGATAAGGTAGGAACCCAGGTTCTAGAATTTTCTTCTTTAGTGACTTTGCTATAATTCTGATTTTGAAGAGTGTTCACACAAAGGTCTTTTCATTATTTTCTTAAGCTGTTTTCCATCAAAAGAAGTCTGAATCATACTTTTGCTTGTGTTGTCCTTCAGTAATTGAATGTATGCTTTGTTCTTGAGATACACAGGCCAGTAAGATACTCTTGTTAAGTATGGTGGCCCAGGGGTGCAGTGTTGCAGTGAGAGCACAGATGAGGTGGCTGTGCTTTGGTGGTCTGATGGAGGGATGCTGATGAGAGTCCTGACTCCTTGGTAGGGACCGGTAGTTGACATGCTATCCCTCTGCCTCCACACCTTACTTCCTAGCTACTATATTTTTTAGCTCACAAGTTCAATATGCATTCTGATCTCTTTTTGTTGGTACCAGCCACTTGTCCCAATTTAGGGTTTTAAAGAATTATTAAATAATTTAAGTATTAAAGAAAGTTCACAGTAGTTAGTGGTAAAAGATGATTGAGTTTTGCATGTGGCATTTGCTATGGACTTGAAGGTGTAAGTTACATCAGGGTCTTACTTGAGGGTTGTAGGGAAGTGAGGATGTGGCTAATGAGCTCCTAAACTGAAGCGTGAGGAGAAAGGGAAGGAATTGCTTGGTTTTAAAAAAGGTGAAACAGGACCTGAGTGATTCCTTTTCTTAGCTCTGATGTGGTTGGGGAAGGATTCTGAGGCTAGAACCAGAGCCGAAGATGTACAGCAGGGTATAGGAAGGGATCTTGGTATGGGGAGAGAGCTGTGCAAAGCCTGCGCAGAATTCTGCACAGGATTGCTTCAAAAAGATTAGAGTGGCAGGGTGTGGTGGCACATGCCTGTAATCCAACACTCTGAGAGGCTGAGGCAGGAGGATCACAAGTTTGAGCCCACGCTGGGCAGCTTAGTGATTTAGCAAGACTTTGTCTCAAAAAAAAAAAAAAAAAAAAAAAAAAACAAAAACAAGATTCTGTTATTCACTGTAACAAGTGCCTCACCCTGGAAAGAAGGATATTTTGGAAGGTGTTTGTAATTCACTAGCTCGCTTACAT